CATTTGCACGGTTTTGTGATTGTGTCGTGGCTGTGGGGCCCCGACATCATAGCATTGCCAATGCAGGCGGCTCCGGGCCGCGATCACACAGATGTACTGCCTCGTCGCCGCTGGTGTAAACGGGTGCTGGATATATATATATATATATATATATATATATATATAATATATATATATATATATGAGGGTGGCGCCTGCGAGTCCGTCAAGCATAGATGTATGTATACAAGCGTGCATGTAATCATGTACGTATATATGCATGCATCTATGCATGTATGCATGTATGTAAGCATGCATGCATGCATGCATGCATGTATTTATTCATGCATGCATATTGACATGTATGTATTTACGTATGTATGTATGCATCCCTGTCGGTCTGTCTGTCTGTCTGTCTGTCTGTCTGTCTGTCTGTCTGTCTGTCTGTCTGTCTGTCTGCATGCATGCATGCATGCATGCATGCATGCATGCATGCATGCATGTATGCGTGTGTGTATATGTACACATACAGACATAACATGTATACACATATCGATCCGTATGCATATGCGAATATTCAGACCCCTGCGTGCATGTGACCTGTACTTCGACTGTGTTGCCGGACGACAGACCGTGTAGGCGGAACGACGGGGATATCGACACCGATGCAGCGGCGCATGCCGCGAGCCTAATCCATTGCCGCTCGCAAGCCAAAAAACTGCACCCCTCCTGCTCTCGGGGCTTTCCGGGGCAGGGCTCTGGCAGCTCTGCGGGCGCGGGTGCCCCTCCAGGCGGTGCCCCCACAATCCTTCGGGGGGAGAGCTTTCTCTCGAGCACCCTCGGCAGATTTTTCCTTCCTCCCTAACAATTCGGAGGAGGACAAGTGTACCCATGCCGATGCCCTTCGTCCATTCTCTTCTTTTTTGGCCTCCTGGGAGGCCCTCGTCGGCACCTCGTCGTCGGCCTCGGAATGCTGGTCATAATGCGCACCAGGAGAGGTCCGTGGAGTAGCGGTATCGGTAGCTGTTGGTTTCCCCATCGGGGGGAGAGCTTTGTCGAGGACCCTCGGCAGATTTTTTTTTGCCAGCAATCCTGTGGTGCTGGGTCTTCGTCTTGGAAGAGACGGCGCCCCGCGTCACTCCTTCTCTCCTCCTACCTCTCCCCCCTCCTCCCCCTCCTCGCCTCTGCCCTCTGCCCTCCCCCTCCTCGCCTCGCCTCGCCTCCTCCGCCTCCTCCGCCTCCTCCTCCTCCTCCTCCTCCTCCCTCCTCCTCCTCCTCCCTCCTCCCCCTCCTCGCCTCTGCCCTCCGCGCGTCTGTGTCTCGAGGGCCCTCGGCAGATCCTCTTTTTGGAAGCTTCGTGGAGGCCTCGTCCGGCCCGCGGGGTGCTCGGGGCCCGAGGCACGGCCCCCTTGTTGTCCACCCGAGGCGTCGAGCAGGGCCTAGAGGGGGCCACCACCAGGGGGTGGGTCGCCACCTCTCCTGGAGAGGGGTCGATCGGAGGAGGACAAGGTACCCATGCCTCTGCCTTTTCCTCCTTCGATCGGCTCCTCTCCTTCTCTCCTTCGTTCCACCCTTTTTCGTCCTTCGTTTTCTCCTCCTTCGATTTACCTCCTTCGTTCTACCCTTTTTGGGCCTCCTGGGCCTCTGTCGTCGCCACCGCTTGATTCGCCTCGAAGTCCTGGCCCGAACGCACCAAAGGAGAGGTCTGGGGAGTAGCAGTATCGGTGCCTTTTTGTTTCCCCAGTCGAGGAGGGAAGATCGAGGATCCGAGGAGCGATTTTGGATACTCGACGGCGCGGTTTGGCTACCTCTGGGGGGGGGGGGTGCATGCCCTCCAGGCCACTGTGCTGATCTCAGGGCCGGCATTCCGCCTGGGCCACATGGCGGAAGCTGCCGGGCGTGGTCTCCCTCTCGAACGGGGAGCCCTTATGAGCTTCGACGACTCGCACTGGTGCTTCTGGCGCCTTCCCACCCTCCTCCCTCCGACCCCCCTGCAGGCTTGTGTGT